AAGTTAAATATGGTAAAATAGTGACAATTAGTGAATCCAAGTAAAGGTTATGGGAGTTTCTTGAAGTGTTCTTGTTAATCTATATTACTTTGAAATAATTTCAAAATAACTTTAATCTATAATGTCTCCTCTCCCTTTTTAATGCTTTTAATATTGAAGAAACTGGTTCATTTGTCCTATAGAATTTCCTAAGTTCTGGATTAGATTTATTTCTTTCTCATGGTATTATTTAGTTTTTCCTCTAATCCCCATATTTTCTATAAACTAGCATTTGATCTGGTGCTAGGGTTGGCAAACTATGGTCAACAGGCTGTTTCTATAATTCCTAAAAGCTAAGAATGGTCATTTATATTTTTAAAAGGTTGTAAAAACAAACAAACAAGTAAAAGAATATGTGATAGAGACCATATGTGGCCCACAAATTCTAACATATTTGCTATCCGGCCTTTTACAGAAACCCCTGACCTAAAGACAAACAAATGTAAGTTTTATTTATTTGTTTGTTTATATTTGCAATAATGCTTCACATTCTCAGTATGCTAAGCATTTCCTACTGTATCACATCAGGAGGCATATAATTAATGTCTCATTGTCACACTCTCAATGATGTTAGAATTAATCAGTTATTTCAGAGGTGTCAGCCTGATCCATTTATATATTTATCAATTTCAGAGAGGAAAGGAGAGGGAGAGAGAGAGAGAAACATCAATGGTGAGAGCTTCCTGCATGCCCCCACACTGGGGATGGAGCCCACAACCCAGGCATATGTCCTGACTAGGAGTCAAACTATGACTTCCTGATTCAGAGGTCGTCACTCAAGCACTGAGCCACACAGGCAGGGCCTGATCCACTCTTTATAAAGTTTCCTGTCAATATTTCTCCTAACTTTTTTTATCATCCATTGATGATTGTTGCCTAGATGTTTTATTAGAAACATCACTGGCTTCATTTGAGATGTCATCTGTTTTATGACTTTAGATTATAAAATAGTGATTTTTTTTTCTAATTCCATAATTCCCTTTGCATTGTTCGGTTGGAATTCTTCAGTATAATATAACTTTTCTCTTGTTACCTTAAAACACAGTTCAGGAAAGGCAGGACAAGTATCTGTTTCTTATGATGTACCACTTTTCAGAATAATGAATTGGTGTTCTGACAGTCACCAGAGGTGGCCAATAGGGCTTTTTGGAGATTTGGGGGATTTGTTTTTTAGTATACAGTATTGATGTCTTCTGGGAGGTTTATAGATTTAATGTGCTTCCCCAAATTGCAGGTGTTATTTTTTATGCACAAAGAGTCCCAACTTTGGGATCCCCTTAAAGCTGTTTTCTGTATTCTTTGGACAAGACCTCATTAGTATTTGATAGCTTCCTCACTTTTTGGCACAACAAGCTGTTCCATTTTGCACATTTCCTGCCTCAGACCTGGAATTGATCATTTCTCCAAGGAGCCCTACTTGCATGGGTAGCTGCAATCAGGCTTTTGCCACCTCCAGTCCACTAAAACAGCCTATCAGCGTCTCTAAACACTCTGTATTTCTAAATCCAACAATCGTTATCACTTCTCATCTGACCCACCTGTCTGTGGCTTCTACATGGCTAATCACTCCCTCCTCCTGAAAATGCTTTCTTGTCTTGGCTTCAGGGACACCACACTCTCCTGATTTTCCTCCTTCGTGGGCCTCTCCTCAGTCTCCTTTGCTGGTTCTTTGTCATCTTCCCAACCTCCCAATATTGGCTGCCCAGTGCTCAGTGCTTGAATCTTCTTTATTTTTTCTCTTTTACCTACACTGGCTTCATTTGAGATGTCATCTGTTTTATGACTTTGGATACCACCTATATGCCAATTACTCCTAAAGTTATCTCCAACCTAAACTGACTCCCTGAATTCCAGATTCATATGTCCAATGGCCTACTAAAATTTTCCACTTGAGTAACTAAAGGTATCTCAAACTTAACATGTCTAAAAGCAAACTCCTAATCTTGCTAGTGTCCGCCCCCAACAAAAACCTACTTCTCCCCCAGTCTTCATCTTGGTAAATGACAACTTCATGATTCCTTTGCTCAGTTCAAAATCATGGTGTCCTCCTTGACATATGTTTCATACCCCACATCCAAATACTTCAGGAAATCCTGTTGGCTCTATTTCAAAATACATCCAGAATTGGAGCACTTCTTAAGACACCCTCTACTACAACCCTGTGCCAACCACTGTAAGAACTGTAAGACTGGTTTCTCTTCTGGATTATTGCAGTAACTTCCTAACTGCTCTCTCTGCCTGAGTCCTAGCCCCCTCCTCTTTGATCTAGTGTCTTTTATTAAACTGTAAATCATCTCCTTTTTGTGTTTAAGTGCTTACATAATTGTTTATTAGTTTTAGACCAATGGTGAGTAATGATGGTCAGATGGATTACTGGAAATGCTCTCTTCCAAATTCTTTGTCATAAGAACAAAATTTTCTCCCATTATAATGTGTATATTTTAAATCAGTGGTTATACTTTTCCAAAAAGATCTCTCATTAATTATGAGATTATATACCTATTTGACCATCTACTTGGGGGTTGGGAGTAGTAATCCTCCGAAAATGCAGGGCACTTTCTTAAATGAAAAGTGTTTGCCAAAAGTCTATAAAAAACACCATGCTTAAAAGCAGTGGAATACCAAGGGAGGGCAATGGGTGTGGTCTGCCCAGGGTGCAGGCAACAAGGGGTGCACAACTGTTGAGAATTTTCAAACAATAACACTTACCAAAAGCCAATCTGCTTTTTATTTTCAGTTATAAACTAAAACTCTGTGATAAAGCACTCCACCCTGGAAAATATAGCTGAACATTTGTGGAATTTTACTATTTTGGAAGTGTTTCTTCTTTATGTATAATGTTTAGAGACTTTGGGGGGGAAATTGTCCATTCTTTTCAGTCTCACCTCATCAATGGAAAATGTTGCAAAATGTAGGTGGAAATGTAGGTGCAGGCTGTAAAAAGGCTTTCTCAGACAAGACGGAGTGCTCATTATGAAGCAGCATGTCCATTAAAGGAATTTTGAAAAGCTAACCTCAATCTTTGAAGCACTATGTGATCCCAAAGAAAAAATAAATAAAGGAGGATCAGCTCAGATTGTATTGCCTATTATATGAGTTATCTTGTGTTCTGGTGTGAAATTAAAGAGGTTAATTATACACAAGAAATATTTGTAAACTGCCAGAATCAGCCTCAAACAGCATACAGTGAAGTTCTAAGCTGTAGGATTTCTCCCTGAAGATCAGCAGAAATTGTACAGGGGGCCATTAACGCTGCAACTCAAAAAAAGTAAGAAAATAAACATTTAAATGGGAAAAAAATCCACTTGTAAATAAGAGTGACTGGAGAAATGACAGAAATGCTGGTCTTACATTGCTGAAAAAAAATTGAAAGGGTAATTTTTAGAGTCTTAATTTTCTTCAAGAACTGAACACCATTTCTAAAGCAAAGGACAAAATAATATCAAGGTTTGCTATCATTCAGCCATTTTCTCACCATTAACCATTGTAAAGGCAACCAACAGACTGGGTCAAGATATTTGCAAAGCTTATAACTGGAATATAAACATAAAAACATTAGAAGAGCTCATAACTAAAATAGAAACATAAAAACTTGTATAGATTAAAAAGAAAATCAATTAGAAAAAGACTACTCAGTAGGAAAATGGGCAAAAGACTTAATCAACTTACCAAAGAAGAAAACCCAATGAAAACAAACACTGAAAGATGCTCAGGAGCCCTGACTGGGTAGCTCAGTTTGTTAGAGCATCATCTTGATATGCCAAGGTTGCCGGTTCCACCCGCTGCCCCCCGTTAGGGTACATACAAGAATCAACCAAGGAATCTATAATAATAAAAGTGTAATATGCTAATTAGACCAGACATCCTTCTAGACAACCTTCTGGACGAAGCTGGGGCTGCAAGGGAAGCCCGGGTCCCAGGTGCCAGAGGGAAGCCGGTGCTGGCAGCCAGGGGAAGGAAGGCCTACTATTGCACATATTTCATACAATGGGCCTCTATATAATATAAGAAAAGAAGTTCAGGCCTGGCCGGTGTAGCTCAGTGGTTGAGTGTTGACCCATGAACCAAGAATTCCCTGTTTGATTCCCTGTTGGTCGGGGCACATGCCCAGTGGGGGTTGTGCAGGAGGCAGCTGATTGATGTTTCTCTCTCATTGATGTTCCTATCTATCTATCCCTCTCCCTTCCTCTCCCAGTAGAATCAATAAATACATATTAAAAAAGAAAAGTTCAAGTCTCAAAGTAAGGGTCTCCTGAAAGCAAAAGGAAGAAACTTAAGATCCAACTATGGAGCAAGTGGTGTTTCTCAAAGCGAGTCAGCATCAACAGGTGGGAGACCCAGGAATTTGCATTTTAACAAGCTCTGCTGGGGTGATTCCTATACACACGGAAGGACTCTGCCTAAAAGAAATATACCCAAAATAGATGAAATTAATCTTGAGCCTTCTACGTTGGGATTTCCATCGAGTTGACTGAGAGGGCTACCTTCTTCAGCCACGCCTGGCATCCCACACTTAGGCTCTGCCAGGGGACTGATCCCCCCTTTAGGCACCTGTCTCTTTAATCCCACACAATTGGGATCGAGCAGGGGTTATGTCTTGTCTATATCTGTGCTCAGATTTAGGAACGACTGATAACCGCAGGCTAATGCTCTCACCAACTAAGTCTCCTGAACGCTTTCCCCCTTCATCAGTCACTCCTTGCCTCTCACTGTTCCGCCTCATCGCCTGCAAACTTTAGAAATTAAGACTCTCAGACCCCGCCCCATTGGGCTCCGTTGTTCCTTCAGCCATTAACCCCTATGACTTTAAGGCCTTAGCCCCGCCCCATCTCATCTCCTGGTCCCGCCCCTTCCTTCGCTCCGCCTCCTCTTTAAGCTGGAGTCGCGAATACGCACGCTCTCTCCCAGCCTCCTCGTAGCGTGATGACGCCAGCGTTGGCGTAGTGACGTATGGTGGCGGTTCCTCGCGTTTGGCTGGGGGTCAGGGCGTAGGTTTAGGAACCACGCGGGACCGTGGGGCGTCCCGCCTGCGGCACGTGGTTTCCTTTGGGCTCGCGCCGCTGACTGTGTTGTCTCCGCCCCGCCCCCTCGGGGAGAGGGACCCTGGACAGGTTCTTTGGGGGCGTAGCTGCAGCCGCCGAAGGGGAAGGGAGCCACCGGGGAGCTTCGGAGCCCCTGAGGGCTGGGCTGCGGCCCGCAACTGGAGAGCGGCTGAGCCGGGAGGGTCCCCGCAGGCAGGGTCCGAACCCGCTAGGATCCGGGCTGGTGCCGAGGAGGGAGGGCCTGGCCACCCGCGATGCTCGGGGCCCGGTGCCTGCTGCGCGCCCTGCGCTCCTGTTCCTCTGCTCCCTGCCCGAGACCCAAACCTGCGGCCAAACTGAGCGTGCGGGACGCTCTCAGGGTCCAGACCGCGAGTGGGGAGCGCGTTAAGGTTCAGGTTGGTGAATGGGAAGGGGATGATGGGTTTGTTTGTTTTTTCTTTTTAGTGACTTATATGGCACATCCACATCTAGGCTTGCCTGGTACTGTCGGGTCAGAGCGACCAGCAGGGGAAGTTAGAAAATGCAGACAGGCAATGGTGTGCGTTCACACTTTTCTCCTCTCATTGGCTACCATTACTTTCCCCAAAAACTGTTGCGATGCCTGTAAAGCGTGGGAACTTTGCTCCCTCGGTACCAGGGCATTACCTGTAAACTTGTTAGTCATACAGCGAAATAAACGAAGGAGCCCCTTTTCCCTTTGCCCTGACAATGAACACCCACACTTGTATGGTGGTTGTGTTGAGTTAGCTCCTTGAGACCAGAAAGCACGTCTTACCTGTCCTGGTCTTCCCGCCTGGCTGACCGTGAATATTTGTCCAACTACCATACCTTTAATTTGATGTGTGGCCATCTCGGTATCTAAAACGAGGCTTTGCATATAGAATGCAATTAGGAAAAAGAGTGGAGTGTAGTAGCTTGTAAGAGCTCTGGAGTCAAGCCGCCTAGGTTTAAATCTAATTATGGGCCTATCACTTATGTGGCCTAAACCTCAGTTTCCTCTTATAAAAATGAAGGTAATAAGAGTCCTTGAGTGAGATACTAGGTATAAGAACAGTGATCTAGTCAATAAATGTCAGCTATTATTCCTCTTGCTAATAATATTTGCAGCAGCTGCACCTAGATTTCCTCTTATAGGAGCAGGCCAAGCTAGGTGGTTTGCGTATCTGGTTGCTGAAATGCAGTGATACAATTACTTTTGTTGTCCTCGCATGGGCTTGGTTTTTCATATTCTTTCCATGATCCAAATCAAAATCTTTTCTTGAATTCACCTATTAATTTGACATACATACATTAATGATACCTTTTATGTGCTAGTCTAAAAAGGTCTCGACGGTGAAAAGGACTTAGTGCCTAGGTTAGAGGCTTTCATTTTAGTGCTGTGCAACCTAGTATATATAGTAGCTGCCTGACAACTTGCTCTACTACTGAGCACTTAGAATGTCAGTAGTCTGAAATGAGAGGTGCTGTAAATAAAATTCACACCAATTTTGAAGAACAAAAAAGAATGCAAAGTATTTTTGTATTGATTACATATTGTTAATGTGGGCATAATGGTTAAGTAAAGTATTAAACTTAATTTCAGGTGCAAACCTGAGGTTTGAACACAATTTGCCTGATGAGCTCAGGCTCTTAAACTCTAAGCTGTGCTCCCTCTTCCTGAGCCTGGCTCATAGTTACAATGAATGAAATAATGGGGAGGGGGCAATCTAGCCTAATTTATCTGGGTTGAGGATGAAGCAAGTAAAAGAAGAAGAATACTGTATATGTTTGGTTAGAAAACATCTGGCAATACGTACCTATGGTGGATTTATTCTTCTCCCATCTCCCTCCCTCCCCCATTTATGTAGGTGGATGGGTATTTTTTCTTTAAAGGAGCTAGAGAGCAAATCAGAAAGCAGTAGATGCAAGGCTTCCTTTCTGACTTTTGTTTCTAAAAGCCTACGTCAGTAGAATAACTGAGTTTGCAGAGGGGGCAGTAAAGAAAGGGGGGGTTATTAAATTAATTTCATCTGTTTCTTTTTATTTTGTTTTAAATACATTTTTATTGATTTCAGAGAGGAAGGGGGAGGAAGAAAGAGAGAGAAACATCAATGATAAGAATCATCGGTCGGTTGCCTCCTCTATGCCTCCCACTGGGGATTGAACCTGAAACCTGGGCATGTGCCCTGACCGGGAATTGAAAGTGACCTCCTGTTCATAGGTGGACACTTAACCACTGAACCACACTGGCTGGACTGTTTCTTTTTACTTTTAATGTGACCACTACGAAAATGTAAAATTACTTATGTGGCTCACATTATATTTTTGTTGGACATTCCTGGTATGATGGCTAAAACAAGTAATTACAGCAATATGATAGATATTAGTGGCATAAATAATGAACTTGGAGAAAACAGCAAGGGAAGTCCTTAACTGTGTGAGGGGGTCAAGGAAGGCTCCTTGTCTATAGGGTATGGTAGGGACACAGAGAAAGTAAGGGTCAGTACAATCATTCCCCACATAATAATGTTTTCATCAGCCCTGGCCGGTTTGGCTCAGTAGATAGAGCGTTGGCCTGCGGACTAAAGAGTCGCAGGTTCGATTCTGGCCAGGGGCATATGCCTGGGTTGCGGGCTTCATCCCCAGTGGGGGACATGCAGGAGGCAGCCTGTCAATGATTCTCTGTCATCATTGATGTTTCTATCTTTCTATCTATCTCTCTCCCTTCCTCTCTAAAATCAATAAAAAAAGTATATTTAAAAAAAAAATAAAAAAAATAATGTTTTCATCAATGACAGATCACATAAAAGACATGGTCCCATCTATATATATAAAAGCCTACGTGACCTGTCGACCAGTGGCCTGGTCACTATGACGCACACCGACCACCAGGGGGAATGCAGGAGCTGCCCCCTGGTGGTCAGGGCGCTCTCACAGCGGGAGTGCCACTCAGCTGACTGATGGGCGCCAGGTGCAGGGCTCACCGCAGGCAAGCTCAGTTGAGGCAGCACAAGCCTCTCCCGTAGACACACCCCCTGCAAGCCCCTCCCCCATCCGGACTGGAACCAGGATGAGGACTGACTAGGCACCAGCCTGCAGCTGCTTCTCGGTCATAGGCGCGCTGATATCACCCTAGGACAGTCACACAGAGAGAGCAGCAGAGCGGCAGCGAGTTTACCAACCGGTGACGGTGGCAGGTTCAGCGGGGCCAGGATGAGCAGGAGCGGCACGTGGCGTTGGACTGCTGGTTTTGGCCCAGTCCCCGCAGGGATGCCAAGGGACCCCACTGGTGCACGAATCCGTGCACTGAGCCTCTAGTTCGAATAGGCGCTGTGATGCACACTGACCACTAGGGGGTAGGTTAGCTTACTGCAGGGGTCTGGCTGATCGGAACTGGGCAAGACGGGCTGGATATGCCCTGGAGTCCTCCTGTGGTCCCTCCCTGGCCCCTATTGTGCACCGGTGGGGTCCCTCGGCCTGGCCTGTGCCCTCGTAATTCGGGACATCTGGGGGGGGGGGTGTTGGAGAGCCGGTTTCAACCTGATCCCTGTAGGCCAGGTTGAGGAACTCCACAAGTGCACGAATCTGTGCACTGAGCCTCTAGTAAGATTATAATGGAGTTGAAAATTCCTATCACTTAGAGACTTGGTAACCTGATAACGGTCATAAGGCAATCCATTGCTCTTGTGTCTGTGATGATGCTGGTGTAAGCAAACCTACTGTGCTGCCAGTGGTATAAAAGTATAACACATATAGTTATGTGCATAATACTTCTAAGGATGATAAATGAATATGTTACTGGTTTGTGTATTTACTATGCTGTACTTTTATTGTTATTTTAGAGTATACTTTTTCTACTTATAAAAGTTTGCTGTAGAATAGTATGTCATGTTAAACCTGCAGCAGCCTCATACATCTTGCATCTACCAAATCTCTTGATTGCATCATTTTCTTTTGTGCTTGATTTAATCTCCTGTTGTTTTGTGCAGTAACATGTAGGTGTTTAGTAGCTATATTGTCTAGATTTAAGTACAGTCTATGATGTTCTCACAATGAAGAAGTTGCCTAACAATGCAGTTCTCAGAATATATCTCTGTCGTTAAGTGGTACATGATTGCTCGGTTTTTCTAAATAGGATCATCTTGCTTTTCCCAGACTTGTTTGATAGTTAATCAAACACCATCAATTGTTTCACAATTACTCAATGTCTACTGGAGGAATATTCTCCCTTAACTTTTCTGCTCGGTAAATTTAAGCTAAATGTGATTGGTGAGAGAACTGTTTTCAATGTTAATTGGCCTACCTGAAGACATCTCATTTGTATTCAAACCAACCTGTCATTTAAATTCAGAGTGTCTGAAAATTTGTGTGCTACTTAATGTGTTCATACGGAGAAGTTTCTTGAGAACTCTTTATGTGTGGTATTTTGTAAAGGGAAAAAAAAATCCCATAAAGATGCTTCTAGTCTATAACTACATAATTTCCCTTCTTGGAATTTGATATAAAAGGAAAAAGAGACAAAAATAAGTGCCCTATTATTCATAACCCAATTAAGGGGGCATAGGAACAGGAGAAAATATGTGAAATAGCAAATATTGGGGGGATTGGTTATGTGAATTAGGCTCTCAACCTAATGGAATGTCAGGCATGTATTCAGAATGATGAGCTTTACTAACAAAAGGAAACAAAAGGTGGCATGCCAAAGCTCTATCTTACTGTGATAAGAACCAGATCAATTTTATATATGCACTAGAGGCCCGGTGCACGAATTCTTGCACTGGTGGGGTCCCTCGGCCTGGCTGCTGATCGGGCCAATCGGGGCTGATCGGGGCTGATCGGGGCCAGCCAGCCAGGGGGGAGGGACTGTGGGAGGTTGACTGTGGGAGCACACTGATCTCCAGAGGGCAGCTCCTGCATTGAGCATCTGCCCCCTGGTGGTCAGTGCGTCGTCATAGTGACCAGTCGTTCGTTCGACTGGTCGTACCGGTCACTTAGGCTTTTATATAGATAGATATGAGTGAACTAAAAGCAACTGGTTTGTTAAGGCAGGATTATGAGGACATTTTCCCCTGTATTCATTTAGTTTTCTATGGGTATGTGTAATGAAAATGTAAAATGTTTACATGCTTTAAACTCACATTTAGAAAGAAATATTTCTCTTCATTAGGGATGGGTTCGTTCAGTCCGATCCCAGAAGGAAGTCTTGTTCCTGCATGTAAATGATGGGTCATCTTTGGAAAGCCTTCAGGTTGTAGCAGATTCAAACTTAGATAGCAGGTGAGTTGTTTTTTAAAGTGAGTCCTTTGATTCTTTTTTTCCATCTCATCTGCTCCCATTCCCCTAATCCAGTGTTCACATTGCATCCTGTGTGATCTTTCTAAACAAATCTGCTTCACATAGCGTTGAGGCTCAAGTTCAAATACTCAGAATCAAGATCCTTCAAGCTTGGGCCTTTCCTCCTCTAACATCTTCATGTGACAATATCCCCCACCTCTCCTTTACTTCAGTCTCTCTTAACTACCTGCAGTTTTTAATCTAATTAAGGGTAAAATTGAATATTTATCCTTATATGTCATTAAATATTTTAATATTTTGATAGCAAGGTTTATATCATAATAAGGGTTGGGTATAATGATATCTAGTTTATGCTGTGTTTTGTTATTATAGAGAACTAGATTTTGGGTGTTCTGTGGAAGTTCAAGGGCAGCTGGTAAAAAGTCCATCCAAAAGGCAAAATGTGGAACTGAAGGCAGAAAAAATTGAAGTTGTTGGAAATTGTGATCCCAAGGTATGTTTTCTGACACTTTTATGGAGGCTGTTTAGGCTTAATTAAAAACATTAGCAATTTGTTTTAAGTGTGATTATTGGGAAGAAGGTACTTAGAATGTGTTTTGATTGTGACTTTCCAGGTAATTGAAACAGGCAATAGAGCCTAAGGAATGTAGAGAGAGTAGCGAAAAGTATATATGTAGATGGCTGAGTCTGATGAGTAAGAGCTAAATATTAGTCTATGCATCTCTGTGGTACTTGTCACAGTTGAAACTTGCCACTTTTACAAGCATGCCCAATGACAGAGACCTACCAGGGCAGACCACATTCTTATCTAGAATCATTACATCTGATACAGTAGCCATTAGCTACCTGTGGCTATTTAATATTAAATAAAATTAAATTAAAAATTCTATTCCTCAGGGTCATTAGTCACATCTCAAGTGCTCAGTAGTCACATGCAACTAGTGGCCACCATACTGGGTAGCACAGATACAGAACATTTCTATTTATCATAGAAAATTCTACTGGGCAGTGCTAGAGTATTGTAATGCTTGGGCTGAACAAAGAAACTCTCGAAGTAATTTGGAACTCAGAGAGGAATGGAGATGATAACAATTTTTGTTTTTCCTTTTTTAGGGGGACATTTTAATGGCTATTAAAATTTTACCATGTGTTTCACTATTCTTAAATTGTTCTCTCTTGTCTTCTGTGGGTGTTGATGCCTTCACCTTCTCCTTTCCGTCATTTTTAAGTATTCAGACATTAAGGAATTCTGAACCCCTAGCAGCCCCCAGATTTCTCTTAATGTGGTCATATAATGTAGTAACTGTGGTGCTGATTTCTATACAATGTAAATTAATATGTGCACAAGGCCGAAAAGGAATAGACAAGTCTAATAGGCTACCAGTGTAGCTCTCTTACTCAGCTTCTTTGTTGAAACTGTAGTTTTGATCTGAACATTTGTTTCTGTCTTAATCTTATGAGTATGGGTAGGGGTGGAAATACTTCTAGGTAAATCATAATTTTCTTTAGAAGTTTTGTAAATATACACTACTCTGCCAGATGACAGAAAGCTGTTGACCCTTCCTCATATACTTAGAAAGCAGTGCCTGTTGGTAAACAGTGCTTAAACTGTGTCAATTGATTATGAATGATTGCGGACTTTCAAGACATTTGGGTGATTTTAAAATTAAATAAATACCAGCAGTGTGTACTTAATAACTTTATATCTACAATATTATAAACTCCTGTGTGCCAAAATAGATTCTTTTGCATATTTATATCCTAATCTCTCTATTTGTAAGTAGTGGTTGATAGCTAACAGAAATTTGGTAAATAACAGATTAACATCGGTGACATTAAGTGATTTGCCCATGGTTCCACAGCTAATAAGTAGTAGAGCAGAATTCAAACCCTCATCTCCCTGATTCCACCCCACCACCATTCTACTCGGAATGAATGAGGTCTATATTCAGTTATATTAAGAAATAAAGAAGGAAAGCATCTTAGTTTTGTTCTAAAGCACTACTATTTTGAAAATGCCCTGGAAACTATCTTTATAGCTTCTAATTTTTTTTTCCCCATTTATTGGCAGGATTTCCCTTTAAAATATAAAGACAGGCCTCCTCTGGAGTATCTGAGACAATTTCCTCATCTTCGGTGTAGAACTAATGCCCTGGGTTCTATACTGAGGGTTCGCAGTGAGGCCACCGCTGCTATTCATTCTTTCTTTAAGGTAAGGCGTTTTGCTTCTCAGTGGTCTGCCTTGTAATGAAATAGAATAATGGTAACACTGGAATATCATCCTGACAATACCCTTTACTCACATGGTCTTTTTTGGGGGGTTGATTTAAAATTTTTTCTTTGTCACTGGTTCTGAGCAATTTGATTATGATGTGCCTTGGTGCAGTTTTCTTTATGTTTCTCGTGTTTGATGTTTGTTGAGTTTCTTGGATCAATTCTTTTTTATTTTCAACAAAGTTTTCAGCCATTATATTTTCAAAATTTTTTATGTTTCTTTTCTCCTTTAGGGACTTCAACTACCCAAATATTAGACCCCTCGATGATATATCCAGAGCTCACTGATGTTCTTTTCTTTCCTTTTTTAAAATTCTTTTTTTCTTTGTGTGTTTCTTTAGGATGATTTGTATCGCTGTGCCTTCAAGTTTGTTTATCTTTCCTTCTACAACACCTAATTTGTTATTTCTATCCTGTGTTTTTATCTCACACATTGTAGGTTTCATATCTAGATGTTTGATTTGGACCCTTTAAAAAATATATATCTTCTATTTCTCTACTTAACTTTTGAACATATTCAATATAGTTTTGAACATATACAATGCAGTAAAAGGACTGTTTTTATGTCCCATTCTTCTGATTTTAACATATCTGTCAGTTATGAGTCAATTTTGATTTATTAATCTCATTATGGATTATGTTTCCCTGCCTCTTTGCATACCTGCAAATCTTTCGTTAGGTGTTAGACATTGTAAACTTTAAGCTTCTTACGCTTTATTCTGGTATGCGGTTATTTGAAAACTGTTTGATGCTTTGGGTTTTGGTTTTAAGTGCGTCTGGAGAAGTTCTCAGTCTAGGACTAATTACTCCCCACCACAGAGGCAAAGCTTTTCTGGGTCTCTACCTAATGCCATGGGAATTACGAGCTTTTCCAATCTGGCTTGTGGTTTCAGACACAGTTTTCAGCCACACGTGAACACTAGGCACTGTTTCCTCTCATCTTTTTGGGTGGTTCTTTCTCTGGCCTTGGATGGTTTCCTCTCGAGCATTTGCTTTATCATTCCTGTACCTGATACTCCAGGTGAGCCTCTACACATCTCTGGAGTTCTCTGCACAACTCTCTCCTCTCTGGTACCGTCTTGAATTTTAGCCACTTTTGTCTCCTGAGACTCTCAGGGAGTCTGCTGGGCTCCACTTTATTACCCCCTCTCCCTGCCATGGCCTGGAAAACCTCAAGATAGTAAGCAGGGCTGCTGGTGGGGTTCACTGTGCTTGTTTCCATCTCTCAGAAATCACTGTCCTTTGTTGTCTGATATTCAGTGTCTCGAAAACCATTCTTTCATGTGGTTTTCTTGTAGGATTTTTTGTTTTGTTTTTGTCTTTTTTGGTTTTTCAGGTAGGAGAGTAAATCTGGCCCGTTTCTCCATCCCGGTCATAGACATATTTTATATATATAGTTAGCGCAGATTTTGAGTTACTGATGTTGATCAAGTAGATTGATCTAATGACTTAAAAGACATTTTGTCTAGTTTGGTTTTGCCTTTCTGCCATTTCCCCCACTGGGGAAAGCCACAGTGAAATGTCTTTGGTAAATTGCTAAGGTGAAGGGACCCTTCCCCTATGAATGAGGGGCCCCAAAAGGCAAGGAGTGATCCAGAAAATAAAGTTAAGTTATTCCATGCACTTTGGAACTCTTCTTATGCCACTTCTTCAGATCTGGCTAATTTGCAGAGGTTGTTTAATAGCATACCCTTCCTTGTATCCAAATTCAGGCCTTGACGTATTGTAGCATGCCAGGAGAGTTCTTGCACTTTAAAAAGCTCCTTCAGAGTTGGTTTCTGGTTTAAAAAAAAAAAAAAAAAAACAGCTAAAGAGCATCATGACTTTAAAGCATATACTGTACTTTTGAATAAAGGAAAATAAATCACATTATACAATATCATCCCATTCTAGTTTGAAAGGAGGCATTTACATATATTCTCATAAACTTTCTTATACAACTTCCATATAGTTTTTCAGTAGTGCTTGAACCACAGAACAGAAAATTGGTTCAAATTTTAAAATGTTTTCCACTCGTATGGCTTTAACAGCTGGTAAAGTTGGACCATTTTAATTCTGAAAGTTTTATAGATTTTGGCCACTAGGTGGTGGTATTGGCAGTCCATTGACAAGTGGGCTTTACCTACTTTATATATAATCTCTTTATTGAAGCTTTTGCAAAAATGTAAACAATTTAAAAATAAATGAAGAAGCTAGAAAAAATATGAAGTAAAAAAATAAGCAAAATAAAATTTAAAAAAGATACTTTAAGTAGTTGAAAAGAAATTTTAGCACTGTTGGTGATAGCTATAAAGTAGGTACTTATTGTAAAGACCTGAAAAATATAATCCTGATACCGACTCCTATAATGTTACCCATTGTTCGTGAGACAATGAGGATTGAATTGTTTAAAGAAATCACAGGAGAACGATAGTCATATTAAATAATCGTTATATGTTTTCTAATATTTAGTACTATTTCTGTGAGTTGTTAGTTTAGGCTCCCAAAAAAGATGTTAAAGCAAAAAGCTTAAAATGTAAAATCTTGCCGAACCGGTTTGGCTCAGAGGATAGAGCGTCGGCCTGCGGACTCAGGGGTCCCAGGTTCGATTCCGGTGAAGGGCATGTACCTTGGTTGCGGGCACATCCCCACTGGGGGGCGTGCAGGAGGCAGCTGATCAATCTCTCTCATCGATGTTTCTGGCTCTCTATCCCTCTCCCTTCTTCTCTGTAAAAAATCAATAAAATATATTTTTTTAAAAATGTAAAATCTTAATAAATTTCAAATCTAAAAATATAGGAAAAAATAAACTTGAGCGGTACCTTTTAATTAGGGTACTTTAAGCATCTAGAGTTATTTATTTTGGGTTGAGTATCAAAAGTGTTTTGTGTATAACTTGGTTTTCTCATAAAATTGACACATTTGCTATGTACTAAAACTTGGCTATCTAGAATCCTCAAGGAATGAGTTATTTAGAAGAACTGAGTTTCTCAAATAACAGGATTATCTCTTGAGGCACCAATTTTTCTAAATACCAGTGGTTATTATCCTCCAATGGGTTCCATACTTCCCTGGCTTCCTAAATTGAGCCAGAAAACGCTTGTCCTTTCTTGATGAGTCAAGGGTCTTCCTTTGAGTATCAGATTTTTCCCTCTTCTGAATGGCAGTGCTTTCAAAGCCTGCCACAGTGTGGAGCAGGGGTCCTCAAACTTTTTAAACAGGGGGCCAGTTCACTGTCCCTCAGACCGTTGGAGGGCCGGACTATAGTTTACAAAAAAACTATGAACAAATTCCTGTGCACACTGCACATATCTTATTTTGAAGTAAAAAAACAAAACGGGAACAAATACAATATTTGTATTTGCATGTGGCCCTCGGGCCATAGTTTGAGGACCCCTGTGGAGTATTCCTTGCCCCTGTGTTGAATGACCTGACTGCTGTGTCTTTGAATTCCTGTGATTGCTTTCTGTGGATTTTTTTTCTCCTTTTACTTTTACTTTTAGTTGCCAGTGGTGTGCTTGTAACTAGCATTGGTTGCCATATTTTGTTGTTGTTCATTCTGATAAATAAGGATACTTATTTTGGGGGGTGTGAAAGAAAAATACAGTCCATGAGTCATTGAGTGGTGTCTGTGGGCCTCAGTACACCAATGTGTGTGTGAAATCATTACCTGTAATTTTCAAATGCTTAGTGCCTTATGAAATAGTTGGTTCTAGAATGTGTATCTTTGAAAATATTTAGGTATTTAGAGGTAATGGGTGCAATCTGAAAAATTGGATGAAAGTGTGTGCTTTTATTTTTGGTTCCCTGTCTGGCCTTCATACCTTCAATTAGGTACCACTTTGCTGTGGGAGAGAGTCAGTATCTCACACTGGACCCTCGTTGGAGCAGCTCCTGACAAGGCTCCTTCACTCCTTGCTGTTTATTTTCCATTTTATCTTTCTGCTTCCCTATCTGCTTTTTCATTTTTGGACTTTATTCTCAATGCTTTATTATTCTTCCTTTGTACCCTTTATAGCTTTTGGCGGTAATGTTATAGACTTTGATATGATAAGCCTTGCTACAGCATTAAGCCTTAAAAGGTTAGGTGACACCTTCTGAAAAGTTTAGCATTAATTAAGTATTAAGAATAATTCCCAGTACTCAAGTGATTTTTTAAAAAAAACCTCATACAGTTATTTTTGTAAGATTTACAGTGTTGTTTCTTGTGGCAGTTGACCAGTTCTAACTTTGGTGATTATATTTAACCGTTAAATTTTCTCCTCCCTCTTCCCCACCCTCATTTCCTTTGGATTTTTCATTTCCTTTCTTTGTTTACTGCGCTCATGCTTGTAGTTGCCTGCATTTGTGTGGAATAAATGATTCATGTCCATAATTCTTGGCTCCTGATAGATAAAAATTTTATGCAGTAATGTTATTATTGATTATTTTTCATTCGTTCTCTATAATGTGCCCTGTAGCACCTCTAGGCATGTTGCTCCCAGATTAAGTACATATTTGAATACTTTCTAAAACTCCTAATTTAGAGTTTGAATATTTAATCTGTCTGCATCATAAGGGAAGTTGTTAACTGCATACTTTGTATGATAGCCAGAATACTTTAACCTTTTTATGAAGGAGGGGGGCAAACTTGGGAGGTCTCTGGTAACACCCTGAGACATTTTATATTCCACCAGTGATAGGCAAAATTTAGCAGAGGTTAGAAGTGTATTATATGAATTTATTGTGTTGATTTCAAGACCACAACTTTTCCATGAAACACATACTATTCTGCCTTTGCAGCCTAAGTCCCCTTTAGTTACCTCCATCTCCACCCTGCACCGTTTATGCTGAATGTAACCTTTTGCCTATATCCATAGTCAAAAATGAAAGAAGCTTAACGTTGAAGTTGTTGGGTTATTTCAGACCTACTAGCAACAGCTTTTGTGGTTTGCTAATGGAAATAGTCTCAGACTTTGGAGCGGAAAAATTTCAATTGGGCGCCTCAGTAATGGATGGATTTGCTGCTCAGAATCTTCCTTGAGGCAAAGGAAGTGCACTGTGCAGCTCTCTGTGCCATCAATTTAATGACAGACTTCCTAAAAATCATTTCTGCCTTGTTTGCTGTTCATTTCTTTAGTCCCTATTTGTCAACCTTAATTTTTCTCCTTTTCAGTGGTTTGTTACAATTTAGGATCTCATTGCAAAATAACTGAACTTTACATTGATCACTTTGTATTCCTTTAGCAATGTGGGCAACATTATTATACATTAACCTTGAGTGGGTTAGTGTGTGTGTGAAATCATTACCAGTAGTTTCAAAAAGTGGAAGAAGAAATAGTACCAGAGGAAGACCTTGAAGACCAAGGTTCCAGTCCTGGGTTGCCACTGGCTAGCTGTGTGACTTGGCAATTCATTAAACCTTTCTGGACTTCAATTTCCTTATCTTTGAAATGAGGAAATTGGACTAGATAACGTCTAACTCATTTTTTAATTGAAAATTATTTGTGCTTCTATTCATAGTAAAAACTCAGCTTGATATTTCAGTAGTTTTATTTGGGGAGTTAGGGAGGAATTTGATATGGCATTCTCTTAATGCTATTTTAATAATATAATGATCTGTGTTCTTGGAATTTTTTCAAATACAAATATACTGAAAAAAGTGGCTTTTCTCTTTCTTGCAGGACAATGGCTTTGTGCATATTCATACTCCAATAATCACATCCAATGACTGTGAGGGGGCTGGAGAACTCTTTCAAGTTGAAGTAAGTTGTGCTTCCCATCTTGGGGGATATATTGCTCTCTGATATTTTTCATCTGAGGGTTTGTTTTACATTTAGTAAGAGTTATGTGGAGAGACCATGACCAGAACCTGAAAATTTGTCAATAATAATATTTAAAAAAACATAGATAGAAATTCAAACTTCTCTAATTCCTGTCCTACCAGCTTCATTACTTACATTGTGACTAAAATAAGTAGATTTTTAGTCTAGTACTCCATTTGCTTTTCTTATATATCTATGAATTGGTGAACTGAAGAAATTTGAAGAGATTAATAAAAATTCTGAGATATCCTTTGTGCAAATGCAACCCCCAGTTAATATTTTAGGATATAAGTCATATTTTAAAAGATAAATTAAAATAGGAAAGTATACATGTGAATATATTCTTTTTCAAGGTCTTTAAAAACTACATTTTTCATAAGAAATGATTTATGTTCTGTACACTTCACAAAGGCTCTTATTTTAATTCTTTATTCAGCAATCGTTTTTTGAGCTCCTAATACGTTCCAGGCATTGTCAGCCTGCCTGTGAAGGTCATTTAAAATTTACCAGTTTTTTTTACTTGTGGGCAGTTGAAAGCCCTTTCATTTACCAGTCTGCCATCCTGCTTAAAACCATTGGCCAGTAGTATAATGGACAAAAAGAAATGAATGTGGATGAGTAGTGCTTTTTTTATTTCTTTCATTTACTCACTGATTTCTTTATCTCTGAGAAGTCAAGATTCTTTTCACACAAGACATATATAACTGCTCTCACTCGTTCAGTATGTTTTCATTCTTCTTTAGGATTTTAACTGCAATTGACATATAAAATTAACTATTAAGTTTCAGGTGTACAACTAAGTACTTAGACATTTACATAATATACGAAGTAAGTCTAGTACCCATCTGATACCATACATAGCTATTACAATACTATTGACTATAGTCCCTCTGCTGTACTCTACATCCCTGTGACCATTTTTAAAACTGGCAGTTTGTATTTCTTAATTCCTTTACCTTTATTATCAGCCCTCCAACCCCTCTCCCATCTGGCAACCATCAATTTGTTCCCTGTACCCATGAGTTTGTTTCTGTTTTGTTTGTTCATTTATTTTGTTTTTCAGATTCAACATATAAGTGAAATTATATGGTATTTATCTTTCTCTGACTTATTTTTCTTAGCATAATACCCTATAGGTCCATCCATATCATTAAAGTGGCAAGATTCTTTTTTTTATTGCTTAGTAATATTCCATTGTATATATGTGCCACATATTCTTTATCCAATTATCTATCGATGGACACTAGGGTACTTTCATATCTTGGCTATTATAAATAACTAGAGGCCCGGTGCATGAAATTCGTGCGTGGGTAGGGTCCCTAGGCCTGGCCAGTGATCAGGGTGGACTAGGTTCCCCGCCTCCCGGCCTTCCCACCTCCTCGCCTCCTCCTTCCCTCACTCCCTCAGCACCCTGCTGCTGCCTGGTGGTCATGTCCCGCCATGTTCCACGTCGCCCCCTGGTGGTCAGCGCATGTCATAGTGAGTGATCGAACTCCCGGTCTGCCAGTCGACCTCTTGAGGGGACAATTTGCATATTAGCCTTTTATTATATAGGATGCTGCAGTGAATATAAGGGAGCATATATCTTTTCAAATTAGTATTTGGATTTCTTCAGATAAATATCCAGAAGTGGAATTGCTGAATCATATGGTAGTTCTGTTTTTTCTTTTTTTGAGGAGCCTCCATACACTTTGATAGTGGCTGCACCAACTCACAATCCCACCAACAGTGCACAAGGGTACCCTTTTCTCCACATCCTCACCTATACTTGCTTGTTGATTTATTGATGATAGACATTCTGACAGGTGTGGGGTGATATCTCATTGTTTTAATTTGCATTTCTCTGATGATTTAGTGATATTGAGAACTTTTCATATGTCTATTCAGGTCCTCTGCCCATTTTTTATTGGGTTGTTTCTTTTGTGTGTGTGGGTATGTCTTAAGTTGTACTTATATATTTTGGATATTATCCCCTAATTGGATATATTATTGGTGAATATCTTCTCTCATCCAGTAGGATGTCTTTTTGTCTTGTTGATGGTTTCCTTTGCTGTACAAAACCTTTTTAATTTGATATAGTTTCATTTGTTTATTTTTTCTTTCATTTACCTTGCCTGAGGAGACATATCCAAAAATATTTGTATTGCTACCAACAATGTCAGCTGTGTTTTCTTCTAAAAGTTTTTTGTTTTCAGGTGTTAAATTGTAGACTTTAATCTGTTTTGAGTTTAATCTTGTATATGGAATAAGAAGGTGAGTGTTAGCATCTGTATATATGAGTTCAAAGAAGGTAGCAAATGATACATTCAGCCTATTGTATCCACAGGTTCTGCATTCACAGATTCAACCAACCACTGATTGAAAATGTTCAGGAAAAAAGTTCTGTTGTTGCTATGTATTATGTAGTTAGGCCTATGATGGTTTCATCTGTACTGAATATATACAGACATTTTCCTTGTCATAATTCCCTAAGCAATATAGCATGACAACTATTTACATAGCATTTACATTGTATTAGATACTATACATAATCTAAAAATAGTTTAAAGTATATGGGAGAATGTGCATGGGTTATATGCAAATACTACACCATTTTTTAAAAAATATATTTATATTGATTTCAGAGAGGAAAGGAGGGAGAGAGAGAGAGATAGAAACATCAATGATGAGAGAGAATCATTGATAGGCTGCCTCTTGCACACCTCCTACTGGGGATCAAGCCTGCAACCTGGTCATGTGCCCTTGGCTGGAATCAAACCTGGGACTATTCAGTCCACACGCCTATGCTCTATCCACTGAGCCAAACCGGCTAGGGCTACACCATCCTATATAATAAAACCCTAATATACAAATCGACCGAACAGTGGAATGACCGGCAGAATGACCAGTCACTATGATGCGCACTGACCACCAGGGGGCAGATGCTCAACGCAGGAGCTGCCCCCTGGTGGTCAGTGCGCTCCCACAGGGGGAGCGCCACTCAGCCAGAAGCCGGCTCATGATTGATGAGCACAAGGAGCGGCAGCGCTAAAGAGCGCTAAGGAGCAGTGAGCCAAGCTGTAAGGAGCAGCGAGCAGGCGGGCAGTAAAGAGTGAGGGGTCCCGGACTGTGAGAGGGTGCAGGCTGGGCTGAGGGAGCCACACACACACACACACACACACACACACACACACACACCAGTGCATGAATTTCGTGCACCAGGCCTCTAGTTTTATATAAAGGACTTAATTGAGCATCTGTAGATTTTGGTATCAGCTGGGGGTCCTGGAACCAATCCCTTGCGGATACTGAGAGAATGTATATATAAATTATAAAAATACATTTTTTCTAGGTGTTTGTGTTATTAGTTTTCTGTTTGCAATTTAACTGGATATTGCACCTTGTTCTGAATATTGAAGTGAAGAAGAATCATTTACCTTAAATATCTTTTATAATCCCTAAACCACTAAATATTAAAAAGTAAGTGACAGTGAATGGAAGGTATAATTTAAAGGGTTTTTTTGTTGTTGTCGTTTTGTTTTTACCAATAAGAAGGGAATTATTAAAGAGATCCAAATTAAACAAATAAAAAAATCTGTAACTAATTAAAAAAGTGATAAATTTGGAAGTAACTGCTTTGCTACCATAAACAAGACTGAGTAATTAATTACAGTATGTGTATTTTGGCCTCTAAACAACACAAGGTAAGTTATCAGTTAAGGTAAATACATAGGAAGGAGAAAGTATATATATTTCTGAAGCTAAACAACTGTTCTATATTCATAGTATTTCAGGGCCAGGTTAAGTAATTTTGTGATGGAATTAGACTTGCCTATTCAGAGTACCTGAAGATGCTCCTGAATTCATTGATCCTAGACTCCTGCAGTCAGGATCTAATCAGGTTTCAGGGATGTGTAGCTTTTTGCTATGACCTGCTGTCTTTGTTGTTTTCAGAAGTTCAGCTCTAAGACTTGTCTTCTGCTCCCCTATCCTTTGAAAGCAGTGCTTCTTATTTCCACTCACAGACCTCTGTCCTTCCAAGCTTCATTATGTTAATTTTCTCCTCACTGCATGTGGCATCAAAGGAGTTTGAATCTTGGCACCCCACTGTTAGGAGGGAAAGTTTCATATTTAAAATTTAGCTTCTCTTAATAGTGCTCTTTTTTTGCTCTGACAACACTGAGGTGTCAGGTTTGATGGCAACAGTAAGAAGCCACCTTGAAATGCACAGTAAGAACATGCACTTCTGAAACACTGCTGATAAGTGAATGCGTGTCTCATTATTTTAGTTTTCTTTTTCCTCATGTCTGTTTCCTGCTTTAAGACTTTGGATATTTGTTAAGGGTTGGGGACTACTGAATACATATGTAGAAAGTTCCATTCAAGACATTCATTTGTTATTCAGCAGACGTTTGGTATCATCTGTGTTCAAGATGCTGTGCTCAGTGTTACGAGGGATATGAAGATGTGACTGAGGTTCTGTCCTGTAAAGGTGGAGGGTTGGCAGGGTCGACGGAGGCAGGAGCATGCTTTTCATTCACTCTCAATGTTACTTATCTTACAATATGCCTTGATGTACACGTTTTCCTCTTTGTTTAAGGCCCCGAGTCCCCACAGTTATGTTTGGTCTTTACGATACTGGAGTAACTAGTTTGTCTCTGAGAAGATAAAAGAGACTAAAGGAAGAATTAGAGATTGATGGGAAATAGGTCAAACTGCCTTATGTCTATATTTGAGGTTACAGTGTTGCGAGTTGTAAGTGATATGGAATCTAGAGGAAAATTATAATAGTGAGGATTGACTTGGTTAGAAAAATCTTCAAAACGATTTTGTGACTTGGCTGTACCCTAGGAAGAGTATTCCAGGTGGGGAACAATGTGAGCAGCCTCTTGAGTGTGAAGTAGCAGGTTTTCATTGGAATCTGGATGGATGGATTGGAAGGTTCATATTGGTGGGTAGCT